TTTTTTTTTACATAAATAAATAAATACAAATACTGTGTTTTGTTTTGTGTTTTTTCATCAAAACTTTAGTCCTGTGAATTGCTCTACTGTAGCGATGGGTATAAAAGAAACCCAGTACAATCAGCAATATCTGTGTGTCCATTAGAGGGAGTGCGGAGTGTCCCGCACAGTACGGAACTGAGTCAACGCATTTTTCTGATTCAAGAAGGGTAGGGTAGGGCGCAAGGCGGCTGGCCCCCGCAAAGAGAGCTACACAAGTCGGCTAGTTCCCCAGCTGAAGCGGTCAGCTATCGAAAGCAGTTGATGTCTTCAGATGACATTTAAGACTTCACTGTGTATTTAGTTGGTTTGACGCTAATTCTCCGTTGGTCGTCTGAAAATCACAACCCGAAAAAATGTCAGATCCTGTGGTGGCCGACACTCGCCGGTTGAATTCCAAGCCCCAGGACCTGACTGATGCTTACGGTCCCCCCAGCAATTTCCTGGAGATAGACGTTTATGATCCACAAATCGTTGGAGTCGGACGGGGCCGTTACACAACTTACGAAGTTCGCATGAGGGTAGGTATCGAGGCGTAAACCTCAAACACCTTGCAGCATTAGCTTTTGGCGCTAAGCTAACTCTTAATTACAGTACCGATGCTAGCCAGTTAGCCACGGTCACCGTGCCGTTACGTTGTCGCTATTCGTCGTAGAGTAGCTCGAGGTGGGGCGCGAGTAAAAATCGAGCAGCTGGGACTGTCAGCGGCCTAGCTAACATGTAGAAGTTTCTTGAAGGTATGCTAAGGTGCAATTACGGGAATGTAAGCAGTGTCACTAGTTCAAAGTCAGTACCGTAGTTTTTCCTCAGCTTACAGTATTGTTTGTGAGCTAGTCTGCGTTAAGTAAAAGGAAACTAAATAAAACATTAAAACAAAACCAGGAATTTCCAGCAGACTCCGGGAAGCTAACTGCTAGCTATATGTGATAATGCGCTGTAAAGTAAATTAAGACTGATTTAATGTTACATTGTTTGTCTGTCTGGATTTCTAGAGCTAAATACATCAGTGGATAGTATCTGGATATATGAAGGAGTAACCAAACGTTATTCGTACATATTCTTCGACAGTTTCATATTGATATTCAGAGAAAAGCTGAATGAAAAAGGCTAACAGTGTTGGTGTTTTTCTAAAAACCGTAGAGCAAAACGCATAAAAGTGTTTTGTGATTATTGAAATATCGGTCGAGTTAAATGTTGGGTTTTTCTCTATAGTATTGCAAGGTAGTTTACGGTTCTCTGTAAAGTGGCTTTTATTTGACTGTTGTGAAATTGTGTAAGTCAAATTTAATGTAACAGTCACAAGTTTTAACCAACTTGTTCACTAGAAAGACGGCTAAGCTTAAAAGAATGTGAGACGTGGGAAATCACTAACACAGCTAATTCTAAGGACGTTTCAGGAAGCTGATTCAGTGACACAACACAGACGCACTATAATTGTGTAATTGAATGTTAACGTGCCTGCCTTTCCTGCAAATCATCATTTTGTGGCACTGTGGAGAGTCTGCCTTGCACAATATGAACAACTTACTGTTCTCAGTGCTTGAAAATTGTAATAGACCATGGTAGGGAAGATTGGGTCAGGGGCCTGTGGTTAACTAATAATTACCAAAAAGCCATATCAGTCCAATTAATATTTGAACCCTCACTGGGATCAATAGTGGAAAGCAGAGGGTCGCTGCAGTCATAATCTGTGCTTTTACAAGTGGCTTTAATTGCTTTTTAAATAAACAAAGTATAGATTAATTTTTTTCTGTACAGAACAAACCTTTGCCAGTTATTAGCAGAACTGATTTGTAGCCAGATAAAAGACGAGTTAAAGGGGAAGGAATAGGGGAAGAAAACTGATAATAGTTGGAATTGTAGTGCAGGTCCTTTCCTTACATATCAGTTGCCATCTCATGCAGATGATTGCATTTCAAATTAACCAACATGTTTTGTTTTTTGCCTTCTCTTTGTAGACGAACCTTCCCATTTTCAAATTAAAGGACTCCTGTGTGAGGAGAAGATACAGCGACTTTGAGTGGTTAAAGAATGAGCTGGAAAGAGACAGTAAGGTGAGTGAATAATAATTAACAATGCAAGTGCAGAGATTGCATTGTGTGACTTGACCATATAAAATAAGTAATCTGATTATTATTATTTTCTGAAACAAAAATATGGTGATTAAAATGTTTACATGCGCTTGCACGGCTATTCTACATAAAATTGTTATGAGGGCCCAAATTTGGCGGTGGAAATGTCTACGGTGTTGACTTTGTTTCATGTTGAGTGTGGACTTTTTTCTCCTTCTTTTTTTCTTTTTTTTTCTGTTCTTTGTGTCGACCCCTGCCTCCTTCAGATTGTTGTACCACCTCTGCCGGGCAAGGCCCTGAAGAGACAGTTGCCCTTTCGCAGTGATGAGGGTCTTTTTGACGAGTCATTCATTGAGGAGCGAAGATCGGGCCTGGAACAGTTTATCAACAGGTCAGTTAGTCACAAAATTACATTATAGGCGGGAGTCTTGGGTGGAGGGAGACGCGAGCAAGACGTCATTGTGTTTTTTCTATCGCTGAACTTGTATCAAAGCCATTGCTGTCGTTTCTTTAAGTTTTTCTATCCACTTTAGTGAGCTGTTTGTTGTCAAAACTGTGTAGCCCAACACAAGGCTTAATCTAATCTGTGCCTGGGAAAGGAGAACCAAGCAACAAATCCATGGCTGCTTTTCCACAGCGTTCCTGAAAAGCATTTTAAAATGAGCAGAGAGTGAGTTTACAATGTTTGTTTCTGTGTTTCTGTATAGAATTGCAGGTCACCCCTTGGCCCAGAACGAGCGCTGTCTTCACATGTTTCTTCAAGAGGAAACCATTGACCGTAACTACATTCCTGGAAAAGTACGACACTAGGGCTATTGAGGGATACGGGCAGTTGGGGGTTAAACTGTTGGGGCTGTAGAATGGACTGCCTCTTGCCTTCTCTTCCCTCCTAACTTCTCTTAATCTCTCTCTTTGTCTGTCTCTCTTTCTTTCACTCTGTGGATATTATTACAAAGTCATATAGTCTTTATCTTGGAGTTAGAGCATTAACTTCGGCAACACATAGAACATGTTGACGCTGTTTCAGACAACTTTGACTCCTCTCTTCCGTGTGCGTTTATTTTATAACTGTATATTAAGAAAAGCACCTGTCAGTAGCATTCATAATATCGTTAATATTTGGCACTAAATAGTAATTTGCAGGAATGGAAACGGTGTACGATACATTCAGACTTTCCACAGCTGAGTGTCATATATTCATGATTGTAATATAATGTGAATAAAGTAGAATAACGTCTAAATATGTGTGCTGGAGCTAATGTGTACCATAAGGATGTATGCAGACTGTAAATGAGAATTCTGATCCTGTTTTGTTCTTTGTTTTTGTTTTATTTTTTAGGTATGAATGAAGTAAGTTTGCTTTATTTTATTCTGTCTCTAAGAGCTTTCTGGAATTAAAGGTGGTTGCATGGGCACTATCAAGACCAAATGCGATAGTTCACAGATACTTCAGTAAAACAAAACTTAATACCACATGTTAACAGAGATCTGACTGCAATCTGTCATTTCACTTTGTAAATACAGCCAGACGTCGTCTCTGGTGCATTATAAAAACATGCCCCCCCCCCCAAAAAAAAAAAAGGATAATGTGATTGTGGTGTGTTGCAAAGGTAACGGTACTCTGCAAGCCAGTTTTCAAGCGTTTCTTTTCTAACAGTAACCACTAATGTAAATGGGGTTTAATAAGAGTGCTGAAGTTAATGTGTTTCTTCTAAACTGGCTTGCAGATGTTTCTCATTCCACAAATATCAGGCCAGTGGAAAGACAAACCACCACTAGTATATGAGTTATGTGAACTATTGTTTAATAGGGATTAAATACTGTACATCACCTACAACCTCAGCTCTTTTAAGACATTTCTTGTCAAACTAATTCAGATACACTGTCATTATCAATCACACTAATCCCTGGCTGCATGGCACACTTGCACGCTTTCTTTGCAGTACATTTGTGTTAGCCTCGCTGATCAAACTCTCTTACACGACTCTGATCACAGTTATGTTGCTATACCTGTTGATTCTGATCTTCTTTTTTTGTTTTGTTTTGTTAAGATGGGGGTTTTTTTTGTTTGTTTGTTTCTTTTCAGACTTGGATACTGTACATTTGTACAGAAATATCTACGTCTGAAAAACAAATCGGCCAATTGTACCATCATGTAAACCTTGACACAGTATGTCCTGCATTTTGTGTACCAATCAAATGTTTACATGTGCAGTTCATTAGACAAAGTTTATGACTAATGAACTAAATCGGTTTAAGTTATTGTCCATACATATGGCAGCAAAAGAAAAAAAAAAGCTGCTTATTGGTCACATAAGTCTTAAAACGGACAGCATCATGGCATATTTTGGCCCCCCAAAAAACCCCAACTACATTGCATGATGCTTGTTGGTGGCATGTGCTGCACAGAAGCTCAGGAAAGCACTTCGCTTATGGAAACTGCATGAACTCCTCTGTAATGTACCATGTTAAGCTTGTATTAGATTTGCAATCACAACTTCTTTACCTGTCTGACTGATTGAATAAGAGTCACTTATCTTTCAGTCCAGAAAGGTTTTAGAGTAGAAATAATTCTCCTGATCTCCCGATGCAAGTAAAGAGTAGAAGTTTGCACGTCCAGGGTAATTCCTTATTATTGCCTTATATATCTATACTACTATTAAATGACAGACACCCCAGTGTTGCACTTCTCTTCAGTGTTTTTTACTGTTTGGCTGTAAAGCTCAAGCAGCTCTAAAAACTGCATGGTAGAGATTAAACGGGTCTGTCTTGTAAGTGAGACGTTGCGTCTCAACGGGACTACCTGTGTAAATAAACGTTTAAAAAGTAATGATGAATGAAAGTAATGATGATCTGAGAAAAGCTTAGTTGGTGAAAAATGATGCAAAAGAACAGGAGCTGTCATACTGTATGGACCCAGCCTCATCTGGTCATCATGTGATGCTTTCTGCAGATAATCACATTAGTCAGCGTGCATCGTTAGGCTCTATTTAAAAGAGTGTCAGTCAAAGAACACTGTCGATTGCACGTTGGTGTATCATTTCTCATGTTTTTTTTTTTAATCTCTCTCTTTCTCTCTCACTGCAAAGACGGTACAGTCTGCTGCACCTGCCCCGTGTACATTTATTTCTACATCACGTCATAAAGCTGATGTCAGACCTCATAAGTGTCAACGATGTAGAGAAAACACAGCTTTCTGCTCCTGGAATGAAACTTAAGAGATCCAATGTATAAATTGTTTGATGTTGTATCTTCATTCAGTCATTCCACTTACTGTATGTACACTATTTTTGATCTAATAATCAGTGAGGAAAACCATATATCTTTTTAGCCATTTTTTGTTTGTTTGTTTTTGTTTACAATGATTGTTTTTGGAATGTTGTCTTTTTTCTTTTTTTTTCTTCTTTTTTTTTTTTCCATTCGATTACTTTAAAAAGAAAGTAATTTCTTGCTCTTGTTTTCTTTTGCTAGCTGAGATGTGATTTTGATGATGACCTCCCAAAGTCAAGCAACATGTAGCATCATAAAAATGATGGCGACTCCAGTCACTCCAGTCGCTGTTTTCTCCCCTGAGTTTGATATTTCTGGACATGCTCTTACACAGGATTGTTTCACAAATACTTGTTGAGTTGGGCAAATAACCATGTCTAAGCACTGTGATAAGAGATTTGTTATATGAACAGACATTCATTGTTTAAAGGCAGTAACAGCATCTGGTTTATTGAGCTATAAAATGAGGCTTGATTTTCTTTTTTCTTTTCTTTTCACCTGTATTCTTCTTTCTCTCAGCATTATCGTGAAGTGTATTAATACGTTTCCATCATTGCAGGAACTTCATTGTTAATTCTGTCCACTAATTAAATTTCCTGCTGCCTGCTGTGTGCTGTCTCTTTTGACTTTTACAGCAGAGAAATGGGAGCAAAAATCAGGAAAAAAAAGTCAGGTCAGTGAGCAAGATTAAGTCAGAGGAGATTAAATGATTGTAGGCTGGCAGGTCTTAAGTTATTCTTTATATCTTTAGATTTGTTCTTGTCTTTTCTTTTTCTTTTTTTTTAAGTGGACTTGAGGATTAGTTGTTCAGGATTTCTGAAAGGCCAGGACATTGGTTGCATTTACAGGGAATAGTTTCTTTTCGTTTTTGAACTACTTAACACTGAGCTATGATTAATTCAAGCATAAAAAGGCACCTAACCCAATGAGCTAGTGTTGTTTACACATGAAAGCCAATTTAAAAGGTATCTTTAGCCAATTTGTTACCAGCAACCCGGCACAAAAAAAAACATTTGTTCCCAATTTTTTGTTAAGTATGAAAAGAAATTGACAATCATGAAATTGCATTTTTGCATCAAGGTGATTCTCAAACAGCTATTAGCTGAAAACTTGGCATATATAATGGCATGCAGTGTGTCCATAAAAAAAATAAGAAAAAATGGTGGCAGTTTAAAAAAAACAAGCAGAAATGAATAATTTGTGAAAGTAATTTCCATAAGAAATCCAGCAAAGACCTGACATAGGACCTGAGAGATGCATCTGACGCTTCAGTTGCTCGATCTACTGTTCGCTGGGGCCTCGTCATGTCTTAGTGAAAGGGTGGCCGTCAAGAGGCCATTCTTAAGAAAAGGAAATGGGGAGAAAAGGCAGATAATTTATTATGCCATATTATACAAAAGATTTCTGGTTTTAAAGGAGATGATCAATATGATGTCCTCTGTACATATTGTCAGGACAAGGTACAACAGTGACTGCAGCCATCTGTAAAACATGGGAAAAGCTATGGTTCAAGGTGATTTTGATCCACCATGCAATACCATCTGGAAAGTTTCAGGTTTGCATCCACTTTGTTTTTCCCCATGTCAGTGATCCCAGACACACTGCTAATGTTGTAAAAGCATAGATAGAAAACCACAAAAAAGCAGGTTCAGAGCCCAGATATCCTCCTTATCGAAGTATTGTGGGATCATCTTGACAGAGAATGCTACAAAAGGGAGAAACATCCAAGGAAGAACTTTAAATGCCTTCAAGAAGCCTGAAGACTACCAAACTTGTCCAGAAGGCCGCATAAAGAAGTTAGAACGAAGCTTGGCTAAGAGAGTTCAGGCTGTGTTGAAGAATAAAGTGGTCACACCAAGTATTGACTTTTAAGCTTGATAGAACTCCTGTTTTCCTAGTAAAATATAAAGAAATTAAGGGTGGCTCAAAAGACTTTTGCAAGTGGTAATTCTCTGGATGAAAGTATCTTCTTGATGTCAGAGGAGAATGGGCAGACTGCTTCGAGCTGATAGGAATGCAAAAGTAATGCAAATGGGAAAATGACAACTCTTTACAACCAAGATATACAGATGAGCATGTCTGAATGCACAAGATATCAAAAGTAAACAGATGGACTACAGCCACGCTGGGTGTTACTTCTGTCAGCTAAGAACAGGAAACTGAGCCTACAGTTTTCACCAAAATTAGACAAGAGAAGATTGCCTAAGTCTTGATTTCTGCTGCATTCTGATGGTAGGATAACCATTTGGCGTAAACGAAAAAATGGCCTTAAACAACACGAAAGCATGGATCCATCCTGCCTTGTATCAGCAGTTAAGTTTGTACCTAGTGAAGTGGCCAAGGAGTGTATAACGTTTAGTTGTAGTCAGTTTACACTGCAGGTTTGGAGAAAACTGGAACTCAAACTGCCAGACTACTTTCAGCAAAGGTTTGTCAGGGTGTTTGTAATTCTCATTAGCATAAGCAACAGTGACCTAAAAGCTTGTTTTTATCTGTGACACACATGACCACACAAAGCTGCCGCAATGTTGATACAAACAAACAAAATTTAAGCAGAGAAAAAACAGCATGTAAGTGTGCATACAAGTCATTTTAGGTTTTACCTAAGACGGTTTTTAAAGCCCTCTAATCGTTTTCTTGCTGAGGTTGGTCTTCAGGAAATGCCGGGATTAAACGGCGTAGGGAAATTCTCGCCACAGGTGGATTAACGTTGTCCCAGAATCTTGTGAGCTGCAGGTGATCCAAAGTAGGCATGACTGCAATTAGACACAACTGTTTCCACATGAATAAAAATAAGTCCAGTAGGTTCATAGAGAGCACAGCCTGTGTGCTACACAAGGCTGGTAAAAGAACACTGCCAGTGTTTGATTAACAGTGCAGAGTTTTGCGTTCTTAAATTACAGTTTTTAGAGGGTCTGCTATTTGTAAATTATACAAAATCCCTCTTTAAGTGTGACACGCGTGCTGTTCTATACCTGTTACACTAAATGTAACATTACAGCAGTCACTCACCAAAAGATTCACAATAGATGTTAAAATTGTTCCAAAATTAGAATCTTTTAGTGAACTAAAGAATGTGCCTGAACAATGACATGCATGCAGCGGCCATGACCTTCCTCATCTGTGAGCACAGTGACCTATAGAAGACGTGAGCTTTGAAGTGTTGGCCTTGTCCTGAGTAATGATAGTGTGCAGACAGGATGGGCACGCAGGGCCAAAGCAGAGATTAGGTGGTGTTTGGTTAGTCGTTTTAACTGTGGAGCCCAGTTTGTAGCCATGACGCTTGTTGTATTTGCTGAGACACCCAGTTGGGTTAGCTTGATAAAGTGGAAGTAAATTGAAAGAGCAACTCAAAGCACAATGGCTGGGTAAGGACAATAGGTGAGACGAGTGGCTACTATAGTGCCATCGGACAGCGAGAGCAATGGGTGCACAGGATAAAAACTGCAAGAGGTAGCTCTGTACATAGACTCTTTCCTGTTGTGTCCAGTATAACAAAAACAAACATTTACAGCAACAGGAGCCCCAAAGACACCTTTTCAGTTTATTTGGTTTGTGGCGGTGGTGCTATAAATGTCAACAGGAAATCATAACATAACCAAAAGTTTAAAACCTTACAGGTGGGCCCTTTTTTATTGCTAGTCCTTTATATCAAAGTTGTAGAGGAGCAATGCCAAAATGCTGCACTGACTAGATTCCTGAACATTTGACATTAACATTATGTCCAAGTCAGAGATCAGGAAATATTTAAATAAAGACCCATTCCTGGAATATCTTTCCCATTATATACAGCTGTAGTCAAAAGTTTACGTACACTTGTATGAAGTATGAATGTCATGGTAATTTGGGGCTCCATTTATTTTTTTGAATTGTTCTTTTTCCAGAGTGGAACGATTGTACAGTGGATCCATGAATGACTTTACAAAACAATAATTGAGGACACAAGTTTGAATTTATTTTGGATTTTCTCTGATTCACTTCAGATCAAATGTATACATACAGGCTCAGATATGTACATACACCTCTTCTAATGTTTATTTAAATGTCCCTTAGCAAGTTGCACCTCGACCAGATGTTTTTGGGAGCCATCAACAAGCTTCTGACATAATTCCGGCTCGATGTTTGACAGGTTTTCTTTGCAACATTGGTTAATTTTAAGTTCATTTAAATCGGCTGTTTTTTTTGGCACTGACTCGGCTTTTAAGCCACGGGGTGGAGGCTGAGGCTTTTGGGAAGGCCATTACAGAAGCTTAATATTAGCTTGTTTTATACATTCAAAAAAACTGTCCTGTTGGAACATCCAGTTGTGTCTAAGTTTCAAGCATCTAGCTGTTGATTTGACGTTAAGGAAAGAATTTGGAGGTTGTCCTCCTTCTTCATTATTCCATCCACTTTGTGCAGTGTACCAGTACCTCTGGCAGCAACACAGGCACATGATGCTACCACCAACGTTCTTCACAGTTTGTACAGTGTTCTTAGGTTTGAAAGCCTTACCTTTACTCCTCCAAACATACTTCTTTTCATTGTGAACAGCTCAATCTTTGTCTCATTTGACCATAAAACTTTTCTCCAGAGGACATTTGGCTTGTTCATGCGGTCAGACAGAAATTTCACTTGAAATTGAAAATTCTAATTTTGGAATGAGTCTTCTTATTGGTCGGCAGCCTCTCAGCCCCTGGTGTTACAAAATTCACTTCACTGTGAACAGTGATGCTGCTGTTCCAACAGTTTCCAGATAATGGCAGGCTTGAGCCTTGGTGGTTCTTGGGTTGTTTCTGAACATCCTAATCGATTTCCTCTCATCTGAGGGTGACTGTTTGGGTTTTCTTCCAGATCTTAACAAAGTGGTGACACATCCAAATATCTCACACTTAGATTTGTTTGAACTGATGATCCTTGAGTTGTTTAGAATCCACTGACAAAGTCTTTCCTCACCAATGAGAACAGGCTTTGCCATCGTCAAGTTAAAAGACAAAGTTCCTATTTTTAAAATTTGTATATTGTACAATCATTCCACTGTGAAAAAAGAACAATTAACAAGAAAACAAAACAAATTTAAAAAAAAAATACTTAAAAGCCCCAAGTTACCATGACATTCGTGTCCAAGAAGAGGGTTAGGATGTAAACACGTGTCACAGCAGTGGAAATATTTTGCTTATGTGCCATTCCTAAGATCAGCATTATACTGTAAAGTCCGCCTGATGCAATACTGAGCTATCTTCTATACTTTTTCAAAGCTACCACTGAGAAATTTTGTTCACTCTGCGAGGCATTTCTTTAATTCTGATGCCACTCGGTCTTCACGTTGCATCAGACGTCACAGATGATGCCACAAAGACCAGCACTCATCCATGCAGCTACACACTGTAAACTGCAGTGCACACACACACACACACACACACACGCTGCAAAGAGGCAGCGAACAGACTATCAGAGAAACATAATTTGATTATCTGAATTTCATCAGGCCACATGTGAGATGACATTTTTTTTAATTATTATTGCATAATTAAACCTAAATAAGTGTGTATCATAAGAGCAGCTCGAGCTAAAATTACTTTATTTGACACCATTGACCTTCAAGAATGCGCAGGTCACCAAGTGCACAT